GGCGCCGCCGCCTCCTCGTCCTCGTCCTCCGGCTCCCCGCACCTCTACCGCAGCAGCAGCGAGCGGCGGTCCGCCACGCCAGCCGAGGTGCGCTACATCTCCCCTAAGCACCGGCTCATCAAAGTGGAGAGCGCGGGTGCTGCGGGGGATCCCCCGGGAGGCGTGTGCTCCGGCGGCCGCACCTGGAGCCCGACGACCTGCGGAGGCAAAAAGCTGCTCAACAAGTGCGCCGCCGAGGAGACCGGAGCCGGCCAGAAAGACAAGGTAAGACCCCAAGCTACTGGTGCGCATGGGAAACTGAGGCACCGCCACGTTAACCAGCCCTACCAGTCAACTTTGCTCTGGCACTCTGGAGTCTAGGCTACGGCGCGCACTCGGGTCCGACTCTTGTGTCTTTGGCTTGTCCTCCCCAAACGCCTCCTTACAGAGCCCACAGCCTGAGCGAGAGCACCCCGCCTAGCTTTACCCAGAAGACAGACTCAGCCAGCCCTTCCTGCTCCCCAGTAAAGCCAGCCTCGGCGGGCCTAAAAGAGCGTTTGCTCTTGTTTTCCCCGGGGTTGTGTGGTGCCCCCCCCTCCCAGATGTAGCTGGGAACTGAGGTCCAGAGCGGGAAGGGGACTCTCCGGGTCTTCGTTTTCCTTACTGGCTGTCCCTGAATGTGTGTATGTAAATGCTCCTAAACCTCGCACTCTGCGTGCCAGGTTTCCGAAGCCAAGCGAAGCGGCCTGTTGTACTGGAGCGGTATTGGGAACCCCCACGCAGGCTTTTCCGGTCTAAATGTCCGTCCTCCCAGAGAACTCACCGATCTGGTACTTCCTACCTCCTCGCCCTAGCTCCGGAGGCGGGTCTGCTAAAAGGACACCTACCTCTGCCACCCCATCCTCTTCCCTCACGCCATCCCTTACAGTACTATCTCGGGATGAGAAGCCTTTGTGGCAACCCCCTGCCAATCAGGCCTTTTAGTCGTCCCCTGCTTCGTAGCAAGAGTTAATTACAGCCAGGTCCCTCGGCTCCTTCTCTTCACACTCGGAGTTGCCCTCCCTTCCCCCATAAAATACTTGCTCTGTCTACTTGTAGTGGAGGCAGTGTTTTGATTAAATCTGAGGCCCAGGGAGAGATCTCGATCCTTAGGGCAGGGTTGCCTGGCTGTCAGGCCCCTGCTCAGGGTTCTCCCCCACATTCTTCTTGCAAGCTCAAACTTTTGCCTGTACTGATAGACTGGATTTCCAAACAGGGAGACATTTTCTGCCGGTCAGCTGGTGCTGGGCTAGGCTTTTTATTTTATGGGAGAGATGAGTAAGGGGACGCCCTCCTTTAATTTTCCTGCCTGGTTTTCTCCCTGGGGTCATCCTCTCTCCTGCTTTGTCTGTCCAGGATGGGTGGTGCGTGCTGTCTGAAGGAGCCTAGTGCTGGCTGAAACCGTGTGGGCACGTACCTTGGAGGCTTGTACACTCTGGGCTTCCCGAGCACCCAAGATGCCACACTTGGATGACAGCTCGAAGCCCTAGTGACTGCACAGCCAACAAGGGGACACGAGAGAGATGTCTTTGATGAGAACTGAGCGCTGTTGAGGCTTGTGGTTGATGTTTTAGGAAAGACGAGACTCTTACAGGTTCATATATGGTCAAGCTTGGTTTGGTTTGCCCACTGGGAGGACCTGGAAGCTTTTGTATGTGAAAGTTACGGGAAAGCTTTGCAGAGAGGTTTGCAGACCACGGCACTGGACTCGTGTCAGCATGGTTGCCCAAGACCACCCCCCAGGGGGCAGACTTTCTTTGTCCTACTGCTAGTACTTCAGCGGCCTCCCTAAAGTCTTTTTTTTTTTTTTTTCTGGTGGCTTTCAAAACTGTAATAAACATTTTTTTCTAATTAGAGTTAAGACTTTGAAATGCTTAGTAATGATACTTTGTAGCTGGAATGTTAAGTGTGTCTAAGACTTGGCTTCATTGTCCCCAGATATTTCCCATGGGTCTTAGTTCTCTTCTGCCAGGTGCTGGGAGGGGAATCGTGTGCTGTGCGTGTCTGTATCGAGTGCTGGGACAGAGGCTGTCCTGTGATGGGAGGCCTGGTGTTAAATGGGGGCTCCTGGAGGGCTCCTCTGAGGCAAGACCATTGTTGAACCTGAGCCACCGCTATTGTGGGTGGCTGGAGAAGAGTCTGGTGCTTTAGAGGACTTCAGGCAGAGTCTTCTGTGGCTGGGACGAGAGGTCAGAGTTGGACAGGACCCTAGAGGGGCTGCGGGACCTGGTTAAGGACTTGTAAACTGAGTGGTAGGGGATACAGTTTTTAATAGACTGTCTCTCTGGGCTGGTTTTCCTCTCTTACGTTGTAGCTTTGATCTTTCCAGAGTTGTCTCTCTTGGGGGACAAGGGAGGAAGTTACCAGATGCTCCTTCTATCAGGAGGAGAGGGGGTGGCCGCAAGGCAGTGGTTCTAGGACAGCAGGCTAGCCTAGCACAGTGGTGCCGAGTGTCCCTGGAAGCTGGCTAAACACTGGGAATGCGGGCCTGCAGTTTTATTTATTTTCTGAGACAAGACTCAAAGAATGCTGACCTTAAACTCACTAGGTAGCCAAAGGTGGGCTTGTGTGTCTTTTTTTGTTTCTTTTTTTTTGGGTGGGGGGAGAGGGGGAGGATTTTCGAGTCAGAGTTTTCTCTGTGTAGACCTGCTTGTCCTGTAACTTGCTCTGTAGACCAGGCTGGCCTCGAATTGAGCCTCTGCCTCCCGGAGTGCTAGGATTAAAGGAATGTACCACTGCCACCCAAGCTTGAGTTGTGACCCTCCTCCTTCTACTGCCCATACCTGTGAGGACTACGGGTGTGGACCACCTAGTTTTATGCGGTACAGGAGATTGAACCCAGTACTTGGTAAAGTGAACCCAGTACTTGGTAAAGCTAAACAAGCAGTTCTACCTAGGCAGCTGCATCCATCCTCAGCCCCGCTACAGTTTCTTTGACAATTTCATCCGTATGTACAAATGTACCTTGATCACATCCACTCCTAACATTCACTCCCCCTCACTTCCCCCTCCCCAACAATTGCTGTTCCTCCCTTAATCTCCTATTTTAAAAAAATCACCTACTGAGTCCAGTCAGTGCTGTCTGTGTGGACATGGGCAAACCACCAGGGCCACCCTGAACCTCGACAGCTGTCAGTTGCCAGTAGCTCCTCAGCTAGGGGTGGAGCCTCCGGAGTCCCTCTCCCACCCATGGTAGGATTATTGACTGGCTTGATCTTGTACAGATCTTGTGTGAGTAACCGCAGTTACTGTGAGTTCATGAGTGTCTAGAAGACAGCATTTTAATCGGCATTCCTCCCCGTCCTCTGTCTCTTACTATTCCAGCTCATTCCCTGAAGCTTGTGACTTGACAGTTCTGGCGGGAGCCTTGAGAGTGCATTTTGACAAGTGTCTGAGTGATTACTCCTACTGGTCCTAGATCCCACTTTGAGAACTCCCGATGCCATGGTCATGGTTCTCCACCTAACTCAAGTCTTCTGGCCAGGACCACTTTGGATACAGGCTGCAGGTGCACATCTCCAGCTTAGTATGTGGCCAGTACCTCCCATCTGGCAGTCAGAAGGCAGTCTGGTTTTCACATTATTTCCAGCAGACAGCATTTGGCAGGCCAGACCTACTGTGACCCAGCTCTGAACATCCCTGTCCATCCCTGAACCTGTCTGTCTTCAGTCCCCACCAGTGGCTGCAGGAAAATCCCCCTTAGCCTGGGGCAGCATTTCATTCCTGTTGTAGTCCTTAGAGAATTGGCCTGTGCCAGTGTCCAGTTTTAGCCCCAGACCTGAGTTGAGGGTTTCTGCATCCTGCAGTGGAGCTGGTGGTCCGTGCAGCCATCTTGCTGTGCTGCTCACACCATGGCTCAGTTTTTGGGTCCCTTCCTGTCCTTCAGCACTTGTTCTTTTGTTCATTCTGTCATCCCCCTGTTCTCCCAGGTGAGCGAGTCCTGGGGCACAGCCCAGTCCACCAGCACCACATCTGTTGTCCTTACAGACTCACTTGAGAAAGAGACTTCCCTGTTCCAGATTCTCTCCTAACGTAAATTGTGGGCAGAGATGGGGTAGGAGAGTGAGTTGTGGGAAGGAGGCAGAGGTTAAGGGTGTAGAGATCTTTGGTCTGAGCTTCTGGAGGAAGTGGATGTGTTTTTTCACCTTTTTCCCCATGGTGCTTTTGCCTTGAGAACTTGGGGGAGGTCTTTATCTGGGAAGTAGGCATTGAAGGTGAACCTAGAGGCAGAGGTGGGATTGAAGCAGGATGGGACCACCGTAGGCTGTAAGGGGGTTTGTGTGTCAGACTGAGTGTGCATATATGCTCACGACCAGAAGACCTCATTGTAGGATGTGTTCTTGGAAGACAATTACCCAGTGGGTCTTCTTGGGAATGAGAGGTGACAATATAAAAGACGTGGCAGGGGTATGATACCAGGTGGGGGCCTCAGTTTGGGTCTCCCAGGTGATTTTTACCCAGGGTAGGGGAGGAGGGGGTTGTTCTTAGAGCATTGGTTCTGAACCTTCCTAATGCTGTCCTCATGTTGTGGTGAGCCCAACCATAAAATTATTCTGTTGCAACTTCATAACTGTAATTGTGCTACTGATTCCATTGTAAATATCTGATATGTGACCCCCCATGGAGTCGTAACCCACAGGTTGAGAAGCACTGGCTTAGAGCCTTAGGCACGTCTGGAGGAGATAGCCCAGAATTAGGGGGCAGTTGTAATGTATTTCGGGTGAGAGGTAGTAAGGGTCTGGGCTCCTGGAAGAGAAAAGAAATTGTAGTAGGTTGAAGTAGGTAGAGCTAATACTCCTTCAGCTATGCTGTTTGGGAAAAAAAATGGGGGGTGGTGGTAAGTGCACGCCTTTAATTCCAGCACTCAGGAGGCAGAGGCCAGAGGATCTCTGTTGAGTTCAAGGCCAGCCTGGACTACAGAGCAAGGGCTACCCAGAAAAACCTTGTTAGGGGTAGAGGCGGGGAGAAACGAGTTACTTTGTGGGTTTCCTTGGATGCAGTCAAACCGGTCTCATCCAGTTAGGTTTTGTGCTGGTGTTGTTTCTTTTGTCATAATTAAATGGTGTTTCCAGTACACCTGGGAAAGTCAGGATGCATCATGACATCAGTTGGCCAGATTTGAAATACATGCTAATGTGTACCAACACGTGGTATTTTGTCAGCATCCACAGAGTTCACACGTTTTCCATAGCTACAGAATAAATAATCATAATTTTTAACTTGGAAAACACCTACCAGTTAGTTTC